GGGTGACTTTATTATTAAAGAGAATGTCCCACTTCCCTTTATTTATATGTGTATTTATAGGTTAAGATCCCTTTGGACTTAATAAGGAAGAGAATACGGTAAATATGGATTTATGAAATTAACTTAGGCTGTTTTAAAAAAGTAGAAGAAATGGTCATTGAAACCACTAAAAGATAGCATTTATGTCACAATAAATGCCGAACTGAACAATATGAGGTGTTCACCAAGATTTTGGAGTTGGGACCTTTCCTTTTTCTTAGTAGGGACGGGCCTTTAAACGTTTCCATTTTAATTTAGATTTTGTGGCTTTCTTTTTTCCTTCTTCTCTTCTTTTTTCTTCTTCTCCTTCTTCTTCTTCTCCTTCTTTCTTCTTCCTTCTTCTCCTTCTTCTTCTTTCTTCTTCTTTTAAAGTTCTGTTTTGGGGGAGGACAATGCAGTGGCAAAATCCACATGGACCTAGAGACTAAACACCTTGAGTCAAACTAAGTAGTTTTTAATACTGAATTTAAAAAATCTTACATTTAGAAATTTAGAGATGAAGCAAAGATTAATGAGATAACCCTAAAATGTTGCCCATAGTAAATAGGAAGTAAAAAAAAGCATTAAAATGCTTTGCTTTTAATAATATAACTATCAAGCACACTATTATAACATAAACTTTTTAACAGACTTTTCCACCAGTAATAAATTTTTCTCTAGTGATTTGTTACAGACTATAATTAGCTATTTTTACAAGCAATATATCTAATTAAAAATTATTTTTTATTGTATCAGATAATAAGGAAAGACAACCCATAACCTCACTCAATCAGAGTAACAATTTGTTATTTCAAGTGTGAAATCCAAACCGTGATTCAAAAATAATTATAGATCAGACTTTATGTCATCCATCTACTTTTTAGGAAAACAGTTCTTTGGAAAATCATTGCATTTGTTCCTGTTGTATGCTTCTCTGGCTTGATAACTGAGTGATTTTTCAATCCTCGGAAAAGACATTTTCCAGCAACTCAAATCCTCAGCTTGGTTTTAAGTGGGACAAGGCAGTAAGCTCCATGAAGCCAGGGATTGTACCCTAGCACATACAGGGATGCTTAACTAGTATCTGAATGAATGAACACTGAAATAATTATCAAATTCAATTATACAATATTTTTGAACTTATTAGTATTTCTAAAGCTCTATTTGCTTTTGCTTCAGATTAAGTGGCTTCCTGCAGCCCTCTGCTTAATGAGTATGTCATGTGATATCAAGAACAATGAATTATTTTCTTTAAACAGGGATGTGTATCTTACGGTCAGAATTCCAAATTGGCAAACATATATGCAAAAGATGGTTAATATCAGTTCTTTCATGTCCTTACCATTTGGCATGATCTACTGGTGCTTTAAACAAACTGTGTGACTATAAATGCACCTCCAGTTTTATTTACATATTTTGGGTATTACTGGGGAAAAAACCAAGCCTAATACTTTCATGTGGTATATTAGAATGCCAGACTTGAAGCCAGATGACATGGATGAGGCCAAGTTCTACTATTCACCAGTGATGTGTGTGAAATTGAGCAAAATGTATAACCCCTCTGGTCCTTTACTGCATATTCAAAAGACTGTTGTGAGATAAGAAACTATAAGTACTCTACATACATATGGCTTTTTTTTTCTCTTCTAACTTCAAGAGAAAATAGTTGAATTTTTGACTTTCCTAGGACAGTGTCTATGAGATTAAGACTGTTTTGACAAGAAATTAATGGGAACAGACACTTGGCATATATTCTCCTTGTTACCAAATCTAGTCATATCAGGATAATACTTGATCAAATGCTTGCTTCAAAGCAGTTGATTTGTGTCACAGTTGAGAAATTTCTAGTAAAACCGTTTAGAGACAAATCAAGTCAATTTCAGGCACCAACTTAGCATATGTGTGTATATGTGGTCTGACTCAGGACACACATTGATGCACCCATTTCTATCCTCGTAGGATTGGACTCTATCTTTGACCTCAAATAATATTGTGGCAATTTGTGCTGGTTGTTAAGAGACTCAGAAGAATTAAATTAGCCATACATGAAACTGAGTTATTTTGTGGTCATTCAAATAATCCTCACTTGTAACAAGGAGTGAGCACTCTCAGCAGCAGAAACCTCCGGTGGCCCTCAGAGAACCAATCTCTGTTCCTGTCATTCATGCAGCATATCTCAAACTGGGGATCTATTTTTCCAGGGGGTACAAAAGACATATTTAAAGTTATAAGAGTATCCATTTTACCAGTTGGTAAATAATATAAAAAATTATTTTTAAAATATTTAAACATATGGAGTATATAAAATTATGAAGTAAAATGCAGCATTTACATGACCTTTTAATGTAAAACATAAGACTTAGAAAAAACTCTGTGCTTGGGACATTCCCAGACCATTCCAGGCACACGTTTATTTTCTGCATTAGGTGCAGTTTGTAGAAAAGTCTTGGGAAGTGCTACACAAGTGCATCCTGGGAGCCTTCAGTCCCCACACCGCCTCCTTGTAAAACACCAAAGTCCAAGATGTCTTTTAGAGGAGCATTTTCTTTTTTTCCTAGCTGATGACTTTTGGGTCAGAGGAACTAAGAAAAATGGAAGGATAAGCTTACCATGGGTTGTACTAGAAAACTCTTTAAAACTTAAAAAATAATTACCTTAGAATGAAGGGAAAAAATATTTTGGGGAGGATCCTTCTAGGGAGGAGTGTCTAGGATTCTTTGCTAGGCAAGTTTTCCAATATTAAACATTCTGGAGCAGTTTTCTCAGCAGAAGGCCTAGCAGACACAGGAAAGGTGGCATCGGTCAACTCTCAGCGCATTAAGTTCACTTATACAGAAAGGTGAATAAAAAGGGTTGAGATTCAACAATAAGAGATGTTTGAAAATAATTGCTTTATGAGGCTATGTTAAGAAAATGATTTTCATAAATTATTTGCTAATCATCTAACAGCAGATATACCTGTTTGACCTTGAAAAACTATAGATAGAAAATTCAAACACTCTATTTACAAAACTGATCAATATTTAGCTTTAGACACTGAAATGAGTAATGTAAATACCAACAGTTAATGACCATATACTCTTAACGGTTTTTTGAAACAAACATGAAAACTACTAAGAAATTCTAAGCACAGTGAAAAAAGAAATGTTTAAAATTATTTTTAGCAATAGGTCTGCCTGGGTTTCAACTAAGATCAAAACTTGTTTTCTTATCTGAGATATAATGACCAGATTCTGGTAATAAAGAAATGTTTTTCTTTAAAGCCTTAAATAAGAGTCTAAATATTTGGGCTATTTTTCCCTCTTAAAAATAAAATATAGAATTTTTTTCTTTCAACAATAAATTGTGCTTTAAATTTGGCCCAGCATCTATTTCCCTGAATTTTACACACACACACACACACACACACACACACACACACACACACACACGTACAAAGTGCATTAGGCGGAGGCAAAATCTGGACCTTCCTGGGAGACCAAGTAATCATTAATTTGAGGTCTTATGGGAGCTTGGAAATAATTTTGTTTTGATTTTTACTGGGGCAAAACTGAGACCAAGAGAGGTTGTACAGGCTTGCCTAGAATCACACATCTGGTAGTTGCAAATCTGGACCAGAACCTTGATTCTTATGAAGCAAAGTGAATTAAGATGACCTGAGTTCTAGCACAGACTTCATCAACAAGGCAGTCTCTGGTCAGTGCCTTCACTTCTCTGGATTTCACTGTTCCCAGTAAAAAACGCTGAAAGTCACTTTGAACACAGAGAGTCCCAATCACCCCCTGGAAAGGGATATTTCTGGTTGCTGTAATTACAGGAGGGTGTGACTGCCATCTGTGATCTGGGTTCTGTAATTCATATCCTGCAAAAGGAACAACTTCCTCCCACACATTGCCGTGTCCCCCAACCTTGCATCCCATGTTGAGAAATATTGGGTGACCCATTACCACTCCCAGGCTCTTTTCATGGTTACTCATTTCCCAGCTAACTCTGAGTGGTGGTGGAAACCTGACTTAAATGACTCTGCTTTTAGTTTGTCAAGTCACTTTTTGGAATTTCCATTTTGGCATATCTGCATTCTATTTTAAGAACTTTAGTTAGAAAAGGTTATGTTATATTGGATTCAAATGAAAAATACGTCATCTTTAGGTGGCCAAAATACATTTTTTTAAAATAACTAATTTCCAAATGTAGACTGCCATGAAAAACATTTAATTGTATGATATAACCTTTTAAATAAGTTCAGGTTTTTAAAAAATACATTTTTGTAATAGGCTGTGGCATGATATATAACTTATTGGTAAAATTTCAAGCTTAAATTTTAAATATTTTGATATCTGGTCATTAAATCTTGCCCATGTCTATGATTTACAAATGAAACCACAAATGCCAAAACTAAGCAGAAGCAAAAAAGTAAAATGTACTCTATGAATTATATCACAAGTAAATAAAAAATACTGTATTCCTTTAAACAAATGTACTTATAAGAGCTTCATAACTCAAAGCAAGATATTCAAGATGGTTTAAGGAGAGGTTGCAATTTTGCAACAGGAAGTCTGTACAGCTCCTCCAGGCAGTAGTTGTGAAGGAAATACCTGTGTTTCAGAAACTTGTTTCCATGTGTTCGTCACACTTTCGCATCCAGGCCTCAATATTTATAAAGTTATGCATTTTGCAAGCTCACAGTACCTTATTCCTCATAATTGTGAATGCATGCAATGACATTTCATCCTTTCATGTGAAAATTCTAAACTTCATCGTAACGTAAAAGTTAAAACTTGAAAATCGGCCTACGCTTTGAAATGAAAGGATCAAAAATGTCAGACATTGCAGAATACTGGTTCCTAATAGAGCTCTTTTTATTTGTTCACCGTTCTTCATTTTTGTTGGTTTGTTACAAAATGCAGTCTTGATTCTTTATTTAAACAGTACTTAAGCTAAACTGTTCATGCCATGCAAAAATAACATTTTATGTACTTTTCTGGGGAGGGCTTCCCATTTTTTTAGTTCACAGGCATTATTAACTGCATTTTTAAGAAACAAGTTTTTTTTTTTTTTTTTTTTTTTTTTTTTTTTTTTTTTTTTTTTTTTTTTTTTATTTATTGCTTTTCTAACTAGTCACATGCTGGTTTCACGTGTGGGGCAATAACCTGTGTCTCCTGGATTGGAATGAATTTCTGGGGCAAACAAGTGGTTTTCCATCTTGCACCCTTCTTGACTACTGTCCTTTTTGACATCACTCACAGCATGGTAAATGTCTTGCCTACAGTTGTGACCTGTGTCCTGTGGGGAGGAAGAGCCCATGCTGCCCTCTTCTCTTAAAGGGTCTCTCCCATCACTAGGCTTATCTGCAAAGCAATTTGGGCTGGAGTCCACCTGTTTCTCCTCCCTTGCCCCTGGGAGCTCTAAGAAGTCTTCGTCTTCACCAGTATCTATTTCAGTGAAGCTCCTCCTCTCTCTTGAAGAGAAAGGGAACAGTTTCTGCTTGGGAAACCTGGGGGACAGCCCTTTGGAAGGTCCCTGACAAGGTGCTGAAACCTCAGCACCCAGCAAGGGTCTGTCTCCTTGGGAGGGGGTTTCTTCTAAGAGGATGGTACTGATGTGCTGCGGGGTGGTGAGCGAAAAGTCAGCTGTTGTGACTGGCAGTGGCCTGGCTGTGCTGGGTGGGGTCTGTGGTGCACTGCCTCTATTTTCTTTAAAGTTCACTTTGAGGGATCTGGACTTTAGTGGGTTGCTGCCTTTTAGAGAGCTCTTAGGACTGTCGGTGGCATTGTCAGACTGCAAAGGACTGTGTGGCCCACACTGGGAACCACTGGCATTGAGGTTCACAGTTATGTCAACTGGGGTATACTCCAGTGTGCCATCCCTGGCAGCAGGCCCTTTCTCTCTGGATAGAGTTAGAAATGGGGGGCCCCTAGCTCTTTGGTGCTCTTCTGTCCCTGGGAAGTCGGTTGGGAACTTCATCTGCAAGTGTGAGGCGGAGGGCGGTGGCAGGGGTGATTTCTCCGTCTCCGTGAAGTCGGTGGCACAGCTGGTAAAGCTGTCAATGCTGGAGGTGCTCTTCATGTCCACGATGACCTCAGTCTGTGCCACGGCCAGCTGCTCCTGCGGACACACCACTTCTTCCATTTCAATCTCTTCTTCATAAGCAGATGGCCTCTCAGGCTTTTCTTGGCAGTCTGGGTTTGGGTGAGAATGAGGCTGTGTCTTGGTGATTTCATTGTACAGCATCTCTAGTTTCTGGGCACTCAGATGCTGTGGGCTGGAGGAAGACATGTTATTCAGCTGCTCGTGGGAGTCTTTTTGGCTAACCTCCTGGTACTTATTCTCGAAAGACTTGTTGGAGCTTGTTTCCGACAGAGCCTTTCTGGCCCACTTCCACCGGCTTGGAGACAGGTGATTATCGTCGGCGGAGTCCTTCGTATTGGTGGACTCTCCAGCCTTCTCGACAGCCACATCTATCAGTTCCATACTTCGAGCAAAGGCATCTTTTAAGTTCATAGAAACAATGCTTCCGTTCCTTTTGGCCCGCTCGAGAGCCTCTCTCCTTTTAATTGCTTTCTCTTGGCGTTTCTGCTCCTTGTAAAACTCAGAAAAATTGTTCACAATAATCGGGATAGGAAGGGCAATAACCAGAACCCCAGCAATACAGCACAGGCCTCCCACAATTTTCCCTAGTAACGTTTTAGGGTAAATGTCACCATAACCAACAGTGGTCATGGTGATGGTGGCCCACCAAAATGATGCAGGGATACTGGTGAACTTGGTAGCATCTTCATCCTTCTCAGCAAAAAATACAAGGCTGGAAAATATCATTATCCCCATGGCCAGAAACAATATCAACAAGCCCAGTTCATTGTAACTCCGCCTAAGGGTGAAACCCAGAGACTGCAGGCCTGTTGAATGCCGGGCAAGTTTCAGGATCCTGAGGATGCGCATGATTCGGAAGATCTGGACCACACGCCTCACATTTTGGAACTGCAGCACACTCTTGTTGGACTCCGTGAGAAAAATGGTGACATAGTATGGCAAGATGGCCAGCAAATCAATGACATTCAGTGGACCTTTAAAGAACTTCCATTTGTTTGGTGAGGATAAGAATCGCAACAAGTACTCCATGGTAAACCATGCAATACACACAGCCTCCACGTGTGCTAATTGGCGATTGTCATTAGGTTGTCCAAATTCATCTGTTTCCTGAAGCTCTGGCAGCGTGTTGAGAGACAAAGCAATGGTGGAAAGCACGATGAACAGGATAGACACAATGGCCAGGATCTGGAAAAGAGAAAAGTCCAAGTCAGCAAATCCTCTTAGTTGCTTACGCAGCTAGGAGACAGATGGGTCGGGGATTCTTTAACTTAATATGGAATGCTCCAAGTTCTTCCAAGATTATAAGAAGGCAATTTTACCACTTAAAATTCCCTAACTAATACAAATACTTCACGTAGAAGCCTAATGTAAATTTAAATTCCATTCCCCCCTCCACACTCATTGTTCTTAGGAACGTGTATGTGGGCATCCACCATTTGGATGAGGGCCCACATATGGCTGGAATAGTTTTTGGGGGAGTAATGATCTCTCCTCTCTTAGTTATCTGTAATTTCTCTCTTAACCACATGGTTTGTGTTTCCTTAAGGGAATTGTTTTACATGCCACATAAACTAGAATCGACGATCTCTAGGAATTTCAGTCTACAATTAAAAACATAAACTCAGACCGACACTTGGAGAGAGAACATGGCACTCAGTACAACACTGCTTCTTCTAAGAACAGATATAATTCACATGGCAAGCACTGACATCAGAACCAAGTCAGTATAGCCTTTGTCCTCAGATGTGTGGACTTCTGGCCATTATCATGTGGAAAAGGAAGATTATATGCTAACTTCATTCAGTGCAGGAAGGTTTTATAAAGAAGAGCTTGAAGAACATCCCCAATGATTTCAGTGAAGGGCTGACATTCCAGGTGGCATGATGTCAGACAGGGAAAGAAAGAGGAAGAGCTCAGAATGAAGTAAGGAGAGGACTAGTGACTGGGTTTTAGAGTCAGACAGTCTGAGCTCTGATCCTGGCTTTACCACTTATTGGGTGACCTTAGGCAAGTTATTTAACCTCTCCATCTCAAAGTACAGATCTGTTGAATAAAGGCAACAATCATAGCTACTTCATAGCGCTTATAAAAATTACATGGTACACAGACATCACTAAATAAATGAAATGACCCAGGACTGCAGTCTGGAAGGATAAAGGCCAAGGACAGGTATGTGGAATATCTGTAAAGCCATACAAGATATAGACAGCCCAAGTGGGGATTTTCTCACCAAAACCTTGTGTTCTAGATATATGGGGCAAGCAGAAGGATGAAGAGTTGAGGGTAATGCAAAGGAAATGCTTCTTTGCTTAAAGTGTGCATTTAGTATACTCAATTCTTGGTGAACTAGGAAACCTCTCTTACCTAGTTTAGGTCTGGCTTGGTTTCATCTGACCTTTGCCAGTGACCTTGGGAGGTGTCACTGGTTTCAGTTATTATATTTAGCTCTGAAAAAAATATTCTGATAGTGACTGTTTCATTTACAGATTAAGCATCTAGTAAATATTTCAAAGGGCAGTGATTAGACACTTTGACACCATGCAGCTCAGTACACATTAGATTGTTTAAAAATTAGTTTACATCAGGACTTCTGACTTCTTCCCTGCATAAAACCTTCTTTTTATCTCTCTATATTTCTCTACTTCTGAGTTATTCTCCTTTCACTTCATTTCCTCCTTTCTCCTCTTATGCCTCCTTTATGTCTTTTTTTGGGGGGTGGAGGTCTTCCTCTGTCACCCTCGCTGGAGTGTGATGGTGCAATCTCGGCTCACTGGCTCACTAACCTCTGCCTCTCAGGCTCAAGCAATTCTCCCTCAGGCCTTGATCTCAGCCACCTAAGTAGCTGGGACTAAAGGTAGGCACCACCATGCCTGACAAACTTTTTTGTATTTTCATTAGAGATGGGGTTTTGCCCTGCTGCCCAGGCTGGTCTTATACTCCTGAGCTCAAGTGATCCACCTGCCTTGGCCTCTCAAAGTACGGGGAGCCACTGCTCCTGGCCCTTTGACATCTTTCATTGTTTTCTTTATCCTCTTCTTCTAGCTTCCATCTTTCCGCCTTAAATTGCTATAAAGTGAAACCATAGTATAATGCATTTCAGAATGTGTTGTAGAGGGTAAATAAAAATTTATGGAAGTGCAGTTTTTTTTGGGGGCGGGGGAGGGTTTTGCAGCTGTTTATTCTCAGCTTTAATGCCTCAGCCACAGTATACACTTAGACCAGTTTTGGCTCTTGTGATTTGATAAATCTGTCATATCACAAGCATACATCAAATAAATTAACATATTAAATAAAATATGGATGTCTTTTTCACTTAGCATCTAATACTCAAAATAGAAGGCAATATTCTTTACCAGACAAATTATGAACTTCTTTCTTCTTGTGACCTTTTGTGCTGAAAAGAGTTAATGTAGCAGGCCTGAGCTTGTCTAGCCTTAGAAAGTCCTGCTTGCTAGGTTGACCCTAAGCTGACATCTGGGAACTTAGCTAATAAAGAGTTTTCTACATGGATATAAAATTTTCTTTTTTTTTTTGTAGTCTTTTATGGTTGGCTTCTTTTACTTAGTGTAATGTTTTCAAGGTTCATTCATGCTGTAGCATGTATCAGTATTTCATTATTATTTCTGAATAATATTCCATTGTGTGAATACTACATTTTATTTAGCCATTCATTCGATGATGGACATTTGACTTATTTCCACTTTTTGGCCGTTAGGAATAATGCTGCTATGATCAGTCACATAGTGTTCTCTTACAGGATGCTAGAACTAGAATGAAGCTTAGTGGTCATCGGCTCCAATCCCCATGCAACTCATGAGTGTCTTCTACTACATCCCTAAATGCTTATGTTTAGCCTCACTGCTCAATGAACACTGAAATAAATTTTAAGAGGAGAACAGAGCTTGGACACAGGTTTGCACTGTTGCAAAGTGCAATAGAAAATATACTATTGCCCAAAGAATTCTGTTCCAGGATTAGGCTTTTACGGTAATCAAAATATTTTTTTCCTTAGGTTCTGTCTGCCTCCAACTTCCTAGCTTAGGTTCTAGCTTAGTCTTTCAGGGGCCAGAGAAGTTTACTTCCTTTCCCACACATCACTGAAATATTTTATTCTATTAATTTCCCCTTGACTTTTTTTTTAATGTTTTCTTTCTCCTATTTGAGAGGCATAAAAATGTGAATTTTATTTAGAAATATTTTCATCAAAATATCTAATATGAACATGACTTGGTGCTAAGCAGACACTTCTATATCTGAACATAACTTGTATATACAAAATAACTCATTTCCTGATGAGTTTAAGTAATTGAGGTATTATTGCACACGTCATTCAACATCTTGAAATTTTAGTATCTCTATACGCATGAGCTTTCAAAAATAAAGTCATGGCTCTATTGGGCCACAAAGAGTACATTTAAAATTTAAAGTGTAAGCAAAATTACTAATTTATTCTGCTAATAACAATGTTGTTTTTTATTCATGTCTATAGTCACACCATCAGTATGGCATGTGTTTGAATTATTCCAATAGGGTAGATGGAGTTACTGTGATTTAGTAAGGTTTTCTCAACTGCATTTATGACCAATATGATGCCCTTGGGAGCGGCCCAAATGTGATTTAGATGGTCTGTGTCTGCTGGAAGCATCGAGTTTCAGCCCATACGGGATTTGAACCACTGACCTTGGCCTTATTAGCACCATGTTCTAGCCAACTGTGCTAATTGGTCACACATGGCAGAAATTTTGGAGACAGGGAAAAGATGTCAGAACATAGGATCCTTGGCTTTAACATGTTCTATCTGATTTAAAAAATCCTCAGATTTGGGGTCAAATCTAGCTTGGTCTGAGTATTAGCTCCCTTCCCTGATGACTGAGTTACCTTGATTTTCTCTTTGTTTTTTCTTTTTCTTTTTGCACATTAGTCTTCATTTCCTATTTGTAGCATTTTGAGACTGCAAGGCATTTTTATGGCATACATATATTACTATAGTTACATAAAAGTCACATTTCATTCTAAAGCAAAGATGGATGATAGATAGCCCGTCAATCTCTATTCCCCCCAGTGAAAGCAGAATGTGGAGTATGGGCTTACCAATATAATTTGAGATAGCAATTGAAGTGAGATAAAGAGTAGTTTAGTGTGTATCAGAACACTAAATGGGAATTAAGCAGCAGAGATGTATTCCTAAAATTCACGGTGTAACCTTGAACATGTTAATTTTTTCCTATTCTTATTCCTTTATGGTAAAACAAGAATGATATTCACATCTTAACTACCTCATGAGGATGTGCCACTGCTGTAGATGAGACCAGACACAGGGGAAACAGCAGAGATGATGAAGGTTTCTGCCAATTTCCATTGTCAAACCTCTAACAATCAATGTCAACATTGAAGCACATGAGTACATTAGGCAAATATTATCAGATTTGAAGGGAGACAGATGGCAATACAATAATGAAGAAATTCCACATCTCACTTTCAACAACATATAAGTCATCCAGACAGAAAATAAGGACCCAGCAGACTTAACACCATAGACCAAATACACCTAACAAATATATAGCTAACATTTCAATGAACTGAAACATTATAAGTCTTAACCAATTTAAGAAGACTGAAAACATGAATTTGATCCTGCCATTTTGATACTAGCTGGCTGTTTTGCCCGTTGGTTGATGCAGTTTCTTCATTGTGTTGATGCTCTTTACCATTTGGTATGTTTTTGGAGTGGCTGGTA